GTCAATTGCCTTTTCATAGTCAACAAAGCACAAATAGACATACTTCTGGTATACCTTAGTTTCGGCCAGGGTCCATCTGATATTAGCCATGATATATATCCCTGGTACCACAGCTTCTTCTAAATACTTGAACTTCTGGCAATTCCCTATCTACATACTGTTCTACATGTTTTTGAAGGATCTTCAGTGGTATTTTGCTTGCATGTGATATCAATATAGTTCAGTAATTTCCACATTCAGTTAGATCACCCTTCTTGGGAATAGGAACAAATATGGACCTCTTCCAATCCGTTGGCCTGAAAGCTACCCTCCAAATTTCCTGACATAGACTGATGGGCGCATCCAAGGCTGCATCTGTTAATTGAAACAAGTCAATTGGTATCCCTATCAATTCCTGGAGCCTTATTTTTTGCCAATGCCTTCAATGCAGCTTCCAAGTTCTCTTTCGTTACCATTGGCTCTTATTCATATGCTGTTTCCTGAATTTTTTCAGTGTCAAGAAATTCTTTCTGGTACAATGACTCTATGTATTCCCTCCATCTTCTTTGGATGCTTTCTGGATTATTCAATATACTGCCCTTAGCATCTCTCAACGTTCTAACATGAGGCTTACTTTTTTTTTATCCCTAGTTCTTTCAGCTTGAGAAATGCAGAGTGAGTTCTTCCCTTTCCATTCTTCAATTCCAGCTCTCAGCACACTCCATTATAATACTTTGCTTTGTCCTCCTGAGCTGCCCTTTGAAACCATCTTGTTCAGTTCTTTTATTGCGACATGTTATTCTTTAGATTTGGCTTCTCGACATTCCAGTGCAATCTTCAGAGTCTCTTCTGACACCTATTATGATTCTGTCTTTCTCCTCTGTTTTTGTAATGACATTTTGCTCTTTTCATGGATGATATCCTTGATACCATCCCACAACTCAGCTGATCTTTATTTTTAAATTTTATTTTATTAATTTTAAACATTTACAGAGATTTTGGATTTCCATTCATTCATTGTTGCACTATTTCCCCCTGATCTTCTATCATTGGTATTCAATGCCTCAAACCTAGTCTTAAAATGATCACGAAATTCCGATGGAATTGATTCAAGATCTTCTCTTTGTTCCTGTGGAACTTACAGATGAGTAATTGATAATCTGACCCTCGGTCTGCCCCAGCCTAGTTTTGACTGCTGATTTTGAGCTTCTCCAACAATTTTTTCCACAAATGTAGTCAATCTGATTCCTATGCAGCTCACTGGGTGAAACTCACATGTAAAGTCGTCTTCTGTGTCTTTTAGAAAAAGTATTTGCAGTGAAAAAATCATTGTAAATACAAAATTCAATCATTCTATTTCCACCCTTATTTCTATCACCAAGCCCATATTTCCCAACTACTGTTCCTTCTTCACTGTGTCCTACTTTTGCATTCCAGGCACCAATTATTAATACACTGTGATTGCATGTTAGGTCAATTTCAGACTCCGAATTTAGTAAAAATTTTGTTTCTTCCTCTTTGGCACTAGATGTAGAAACGTATACTTCAATAATGGTAGTATTAACTGGTCTTCTTTGTATGTGTGTGGATATTATCCTATCACTAACTATACATACATACATACATACATACATACATACATACATACATACATGTTGTTGTTCTTGTTATATGCAGTCGAGTCACTTGCGACTCATAGCGACCCTATGTACAGCAGCCCTAAACCCTGCTCAGTCCTGTGCCAATCGCACTGTCTCCAATATGGCCACCCTGATTACCCCAGTCACTGAATCAAACTACCTCATAGAGGGTCTTCCCTTCCTGTACTCTCTGTCCCTCCACCCTCCCAAGCATGACGTCCCTCTCTAAGGACTGGTTCCTCCTTACAACATGTCTAAAGTATGTCAGACGAACCCTCAGAGTCCTTGCCTCCAAGGAGCAGCCCGGTTTAACCCTCCCCAGGCTCAATCTGTTTGTTTTCTTAGCAGTCCATGGTACACTCGATACTCTTCTCCAGCACCACAGCTAAGAGGCATCAATTCTCCTTCTATCCTCCCTAGTCACTGTCCAACTCTCTGA